GCCAAGCCTTCCGGGTAATGCTTAACAAAGACATTTCCTTCTTCGACCGCGAAGAAAACACCACCGGTGCCCTAACCTCCACACTCGGTGCTGAAACCAAGCAACTAGCCGGAATTAGCGGCGTCACACTAGGAACCATCCTCATCGTCTCCGTCAACCTGGCCGCCTCCCTGGTTGTGGCCCTAGCAATGGGTTGGAAACTCGCCCTGGTTTGCATCTCTGCTGTCCCAGTACTCCTCGCCTGCGGTTTCATCCGCGTCTGGATGCTCGACAGAATCCAGCGTCGCGCTAAAACGGCGTACCAAAAATCAGCCAGTTCCGCTTGTGAAGCAGCTTCCGCTATCCGCACGGTCGCTTCTTTGACTATGGAACCGGAGGTGCTGCAATCCTACGAATCGCAGCTCCATAAACAGCTGCGAAGCGACATCTTCCCCATAATCAAGTCCTCTGCTCTGTATGCTAGCTCTCAGGCCCTACCATTCCTGTGTATGGCGCTAGGATTCTGGTATGGAGGGTCCCTACTTGGCAAGGGCGAGTATTCCTTGTTCCAATTCTACGTCTGCTTCAGCGAAGTCATCTTCGGCGCGCAGGCCGCAGGGACGATCTTCTCTCACGCCCCGGATATGGGCAAGGCCAAGAACGCTGCTGTAGAGTTTAAGAAACTCTTCCGCAACAACAACCCCACTACTTCTGCGATAAACAGCTATCGATATGGCCCCCCTGTCCACGTTGCTACCATGCAGGGAGAAGTTGAGTTCCGCGAAGTGTCATTCCGGTATCCCACGCGTCTGGAACAGCCTGTTCTGCGCCACTTGAATCTCACCGTCAAGCCAGGACAATATGTCGCTCTGGTGGGGTCGAGTGGTAGTGGCAAAAGTACTATTGTTGCCCTGTTGGAACGATTCTATGAAGCACAGGTGGGCGAAATTTACATTGACGGGCGGAACATCAATGCGTTGGACAAGAAGTCGTATCGCAGTCATTTGGCGCTGGTCAGTCAGGAACCGTCGCTGTTCCATGGTACCATCCGGGAGAATATTCTCCTTGGTTGTACGGATAAGGAGCACGTTTCGGAGGATATGGTGGTCAAGGCGTGCAGAGATGCAAACATATATGACTTTATCATGTCGTTGCCGTAAGTCTCCCTTTCACTTTCTTTACGCTATGTGCGATTACTGATGAAGAAACAGACAAGGCTTCGACACCCTTGTTGGCAACAAGGGAGGCATGTTGTCAGGTGGGCAGAAACAGCGTATCGCCATTGCGAGAGCGTTGATCCGTAACCCCCGCATATTGTTGCTGGATGAGGCGACTTCCGCGCTGGATTCCGAGTCGGAGAAGGTGGTGCAGGCTGCGCTGGACGCGGCTGCAAAGGGGAGAACCACAATTGCGGTGGCGCATCGTTTGAGTACGATTCAGCGGGCAGACATGATATATTTCTTGGAGCAGGGAGAGGTAATTGAGTGTGGGACACATAAGGAGTTGTTGAGGCGCAGGGGACGGTATTATGAGATGGTCAATTTGCAGACTTTGAGGTGATTATGCCAGCGACTTGGTGGATTTTAATGGGATATGCGATGGCGTCAATGGTAATGTATATTATGGTGGGCAGTAATGGATCTTTTTCGAACTGTACATATTTTAAGGTGGAGTAGCATTTCGAATGGCGATTTATCCTCGGCGATAACTATCGGAGATAAGATAAGAATCGTCTCACACTAAACCATATCCATACAGGTGTTAACTGCATCAGGCTAGTGCGGGGTGCTTACCTCATCCACCCAAATGAGCCCAACTTTTTTGAATCAATAATTGCATCCAAATCCCCCCGCAACTTCCCCCTCCATCCCCGTGTCTATACCCCCTTTTTCACGCCCACACCTTCACAATGGCTCTCCCCGCCTACAAGACTGCCTTCCTGGAGTCCTGCCTGTCGGCCAATGTGCTGACCTTCGGCACCTTCACCCTGAAGTCGGGTCGCCGTACGCAGCCCTCCAACACCCGCATCATCCAACCTGAAGACATACTGACGGTTCATAGACTCCCCCTACTTCTTCAACGCCGGCATCTTCAACACCGCCTCTCTCCTCTCCGCTCTCTCCACCGCCTATGCCCACACCATCATCACCTTCCTCGCTGAGAACCCCTCCATCCCCAAGCCCGACATCATCTTCGGGTACATCTCCCCTCTCCCCATACCTCTCCCCCCCACCTCACGCACCACTAACAAAGCCATGACAAAAACAGCCCCGCATACAAAGGCATCCCCCTCGCCTGCGCTACTCTCCTCGAACTGAACCGCATCGACCCCGCCACCTGGGGCAGCGTGTCGTACAGCTACAACCGCAAAGAGGCGAAGGATCACGGCGAAGGCGGCAACATTGTCGGCGCCGCTCTGAAGGGCAAGACGGTGCTTGTGATTGACGATGTCATCACTGCCGGTACTGCGATGCGCGAGACCCTAAACCTCGTCGCGAAGGAGGGCGGCAAGGTCGTTGGATTCACTGTTGCTCTGGACCGCTTGGAGAAGATGCCCGGACCTAAGGACGAGAATGGAGTCGAGGACGACAAGCCCAGAATGAGCGCCATGGGCCAGATTCGTAAGGAGTATGGTGTGCCCACGACGAGTATTGTTACTCTGGACGACTTGATCAAGTTGATGCAGGAGAAGGGCAACGATGCCGATATGAAGAGGTTGGAGGAGTATAGGGCTAAGTATCAGGCTAGTGATTAGGGTGGTGTAGGTGATTGGTTGGTGGATTGGGGGGTTATGTTGTGGGCGTAGGAATGAAAATGTGTATGCATAGGGGCCCGGAGAAGTTCGTAAAGACGGTTACGAGATGTCTAATGTCAGAAATGTGAACAAATGACTCTTTGGCGAATAGTCCTTGTTTCTAGCTGGATTAGTACGGAGAGATGCTGGACTTGCCATGAGGCTAGCACAATCGCTGGTGCCCATATTCCCAGGCTTCAAGTGTCCGACGCTCGTTTGGCTAAGGTGGTGGTGCACTAATGGGGACTAATGGGGACTATGTCGGCCTCTATGGCGTGCTGCAGTAGAGCTCGGACTGGCGCACGCACTATGACGCCCTAAGGGGACCGACTACTACTTGGTCACCATGAAAACTCCTGAAAAGGGTGCGCGATTGATTGGCACAGCATTCCCCCTGTAGATCGTTCGAATCGCGCGGTTACTCTGAAAATTGGTCGTGATCAAGAGGACAAAAAAGCTAACCTGATAACTGGCGATTTCTAGCACGGAACATGTCCTTAGCGCAGAAGCATCCAAGTAGATGTGAATCACCCTCATTTACCAGAAAACTATGGAATTGCTCGATATTGAATGTCTGGTAGTCTGAATGATCTTTACCTCTAATTCCTTGCGCGAGCTTCCCGAAACAACTAAGTTTACCATCTACTTCTCAGTACTCCTTATCATACAAGATTTTGAGACCATTGTATTAACATACTGTACAGTTGCATGCAGCTAGGCTTGACAGGGTGCTATACATGGAACGAAGTCCTCTAATAAAATAATCCTGCTGGCCTACATTATCGTTCCGACTGACAACTTCATTTTCATGGGTTCCTACTATTTTCTTTTTGCCCCATCTCTAAATTGTTCTCAAACTTGTAATATAATTCGAAAACCTCATTGAATATTCCATACCTGCACAACTGTGGGCTGGGGCTGCGCTTATGGTTGGGGCGTTGGCTTTGGTAGGGGCTCGTCTGGTTATTACGGGTCCGAATCTTTTGGTCAGGGTTTGAACCAAGGTCTTATAATTTAAGTGTGACATAGCTGTTCCTCTAAGTAGGCATGCACCCACACAATTCTCGTAGTGTTTTGACTATGATGTACTGTTCCATTGACATACTACCATGTCGCATGCGAGAAGCCCGTCTTGTCATGGCGGTAGCTGGGTTTGATAAGTTCAAACATGGGCTAGAGTGTCAGCTGCATGCTATGTTTATGAACTCCTGCTGAAGTTAAGTGGATGGCATTAATTTATTATATATCTGTCACCGACAAGTTGGAGGTAGTTCTGATGTGGTTATAACATAACTATTAAGTACTAGTAGTACTATCTATAATATATTTTACTGGTAAGTATTATCCACTACTAGATACCCTGCTATAAGCCCACTACTCGATCGATCGGCCTACTTTTGTAGGGGCATGTCAACGACAGAATGGTCTCGGCTCGTATTTTGTTCTCCGGTTTCGCCTTTAACCAGTTATCTATCAGAGCTATGCAGGTTATGCCTTGCAGGATTGTTTTCGGAGTTTTCTCGAATCTGACCAGTCATTCTGCCGCTTGTCGGACGGAGTTTTCTCGGTACCGAATCATCTCCGAGATGCCAATTGACGCATTCTGGTTATCAGCCACGTTCTGGAATGCTCGTAACCCGGATTTGCCTGTTGCGCGATTAAGCATCCCGTCCCTTGTTGATTTGATGGTACTGCTGGATTTTTTTTCTCAGCTAGAAGATGACGTGTTTCCAAGCAATAATGTTCCTGCAGTAGAGATTGACTCGGAGCTTCGTGCCGTGCAACATCGGATATGGTCTTACAGCACGTAGATTGCAGTCACTCCATTGATGCACTCGTAATATACCTTGTGTAAAGAAGCTCTCTGCCGTGAAACCACACTTGTGAAGATGCCAGGGTAGTTTAGCTGTGGTGTGACAGGCACAGCTGCGGCTCCTAGATAGACAGATGCAATCTGGATTATCTGGATTATCTGAATTGCCCCTGATTTAGTTGGCCATCTAGTAACCTGAAATGTCTGATTCATGGTAAGTGTTGAAAGGAAGAAAATTTCTCACTTCTGATTATAGCTAACCTGTTTATCAGGTCCATCGGGAACGGCATCAGCCCAATGGCGGCACCGGCGATAGCTCGGCATCGGAGATGGATCGGTGTGTCGTATACTTAGAATCATCAACTCAAGTATATAAAGCCCTACAGGTCCATTATTATATACCATCAGCATCAACTCAACTGCAATAGACTACTCCATCTACACTCTTCTATTTAGACTTAATAATAATTACATCATGTCATCAACACCAGACCCGGCCAACGGCCCATCCCATCCTGCCCTATACAGGACAGAAACGAGGCAATCCCTCGAGAACCGCGGGATATCAGAAAAAGCACCCCCTACTGACTACAACTATCCCGATGTCGGACGAGAAGAAGACCCCGTCTTCCCAGAGGAATACACCGTCGAAACCAACACTGGCCTTGTCCCCGAACGAACCCTCGAACAGATGCGCTCCCGCACATCCTCGCATCACACATCAAGCTCCGACATCGAGAAAGCCAAAGAACCAGCAGAATTCGTCACCTTCACCATAAACGATCCCGAAAATCCCTTCAACTGGTCTCGTACATACCGCTGGTACGTCACAATGATCGCCTCTCTCCTTGTCGTCTGTGTCGCCTACGGCTCCGCCATTGTCACCGGTGGCCTCGGCCTCATCGAAGAGAAGTACCACGTCTCGCTCGAAGTCGCGACCCTCACCTGCTCCATCATGGTCTGTGGATTTGCCGTTGGCCCTCTCCTCTGGTCGCCTCTGTCTGAAATAATTGGCCGCCGTCCCGTCTACATCATCTCTCTCGTCCTCTACACCATCTTCAACATCCCCTGCGCCCTGTCCCCTAACATCGGTGGCCTTCTCGTCTGCCGCTTCCTCTGCGGTGTCTTCTCTAGCTCCGGTCTCTCCCTTGCCGGCGGCACCATTGCCGACATTTGGAACCTCGAAGACCGCGGCATGGCCATCGCCTTCTTCGCCGCGGCCCCCTACTGCGGACCCGTCATCGGTCCCATCGTCTGCGGCTGGATCACCGTCGGCGCCCACCGTCTCGACCTCTTCTTCTGGACCAACATGGCCTTCGCCGGCGCCGTACTGATTCTCGTCGCTCTAATCCCAGAGACCTATGCCCCCGTAATTCTTAAACGCCGCGCTGCCCGTCTCCGCAAGGAAACGGGAAATCCCAACATCATCACAGAGCAGGAGAAGCACAAACTCACCCTGAACGATATCATCCGCACCAGCCTCATTCGCCCCATCACCATGATCCTGACCGAGCCCGTCCTTGATCTTATGTGCATGTACATCGTGCTCATCTACAGCATGCTCTACGCTTTCTTCTTCGCCTACCCAGTCATCTTCGGAAAGTTGTACAACTACAACGACGGCCAGATCGGGCTGATGTTCATTCCCATCCTTATCGGGGCGGGTTTCTCCCTTCTCTTTACACCCCTAGTCGAGAAGCACTTCCACCGCATATGTCTTTCCCGTCCACCCACGCCCGAAGATAGACTCATCGGGGCGCTCATCGGTGCGCCATTCGTGCCTATCTCGCTCTTTATTCTCGGTGCTACTTCGTTCAAGCATATTATTTGGGTCGGGCCGGCCTCATCGGGAATTGCGTTCGGGTTCGGTATGGTGCTGTGCTATTATGCGGTCAATAACTATATCATTGATAGTTATCAGAAGTATGCGGCATCGGCGCTGGCTGCAAAGGTGTTTTTGAGATCGGGTGGAGGTGCGGCCTTCCCGTTGTTTATTACCCAGATGTATGATAGACTGGGATTGCAATGGGCGTCGTGGTTGTTGGCGTTTATCGGGGTCGGGATGGTGTTCATTCCGTATGTGTTCTATCTGTTTGGCGGGAAATTGAGGGGGAAGTTGGGGAGGAAGGAGTAGATTTGGGTATGGAGAGTAGACAAGTATGTGGTGTTAATGATGATAATAGATTATTAGATTTGATATATGGATAGATTAATGTTTTACACCTTCTAATTACAAAGTTATTCCCTCTCTGCTTCGCCTTGTTTTGACCCTTATCTCATATGGTTGTCAGATTCGTTTTCAGCTTTGCGCATGCTTGCTTTTTGGAGTGCCCACCCCGCCTAGTCTTTTCCCCTTGATTCCCCGAGGAACGCCGGTGATTTCGCATCTTCCATTCCTTCTACAGCCTTGTCGACGTGCTGCCTCTAAAAATTGGGCATCCATGCAGATCGAGACACTGCCAAGTTATAAGTGCGCTAATATGAAGCTTAAGCCTTTTCCAAGCTTCCATCGATTGTATTTTATCAGATAGGAGACTTCTGGTGTCACACAGTGTTTTGACCACATTCGGCTTTCCCATTTTCTTTTCTTCAGCACAGACGGTGGCGTAAAGCTTGAGAACTATCGCTAATCATTTCACTGCCGACATGACTTGGTTTACCGGTGCCCGAAACACGTCTGATAAGGGCTGGCATTTTGATGCGGTCAGTCTCTTGGCCGTAATTGGGGAGTCTATTATAGAGAGGCAGAAACGTCTTATAGTGGCATCACCATTCAGTGTCCTTCCTCAACTTTTACCGGCGCCACAAGCCATCTTGAACACGGGTTCGACAACCCAGCTGCCACTGTTCGAGAATGTGTCTGTTACTAGTGTGAATTCGAGAGAACTGAGAATCAATTGGGTTACTTCGCTGGCCTTATTCATCTGGTCGACGAAGTGGAACCATTTGAACTTCGCGTTTATTGCATTCGTCACTCGGAACGCTACTACACTAAAGCCAACCCCGATAGACTGGAAATTTATCATGGACCCACTAGAACGAGGATCGGGCTAAAGTCGCTCTGCCCCATGAATATTCTGACCTTGGCATCTGTTTTCTTGACAATTGGTTTGGCTGCTTGGTCGATTGTCCTCCACGATGGTGTCGGTTTGCTTGCCATAATCACCATGTCGATATCCAGCAGCCTTGCATGTCTTTCGCAGCATTCATATCCAGAACTCGAGAGGGAAGAGAAATACATCAACGAGCAAGAGAAACTTGTTATCAGGACCCGCAATGGTGCTGTTATTGTCGTTCAGTGCACCGAGGATATCGCCGAGGAACTGTATCTCGAGCAAGAACGGTACAGATATACCTTGCAGCCAGACGCAACTCTCTTCAAAGTTCTGATGGGAGCCAGCACCATTCTACTTATGGTCTCTGTGCTTCTTTTCAGCAACTGCGGATGGACAATGCAGACAGCTGTTGCTGTTACTTACATCTTGTTGAATTTGTGTTACTGGGCTGTTCCCGTGTTATTTGATGCGCGACTCTTCTGGGATGTAGCTGCTCTTTATGAAGTGGAGGTGAAGAACCGGAAGTGTAACCATAATATTACGGTCGCACTCTGGAATGCAATTCAGGAAACAGGCCAGGCTGGTTGCGTTCGAATAGCTCACTTATTACCTGATTCGGAAGCATGGGATCATTGGTTGGGGGAGGCGAAGGAGAATATCGAAAATAGATACTGGGATCCTGAGAGGGCAAGGGACCGATTGATGGCAGCGACATCGTCACGTCGACTCCCTAAAAGAGAAGTTGTTTGATAGACTCGTGGAATAATTATACACCATCTGCTATATCACAGGGGAACTTAATATCGTAACAGCTTCTTACTCTCCGACTCAGACTATTTGTGGATTGAGAAGTCTGATTGAGAGCTATAAGCTTGCGGGAATTGAGAATTCCCCCAAAGCCATGATTTCCGCGGGCTCTGCACATCGTATGTTTTACCTTTGGTCATGAAGGGCCACCTCGCGTCATATTTCCAAGTCCCCAGACAAATATATTGACTCAAGTAAAGGCTACAGTATGAGTACTGTCATCGGAGGTGACGCAAGAGCCTACCAAATGGTGTTCGAAAGAGAATGTTATTAGCGATTCCTGCCTGAGAGCAGCAACGCATAATATTCCCCCTACCGGCATTCCTTGTCTTATGAGAGCCTGGTCACGAGCGTGTGCTGCTTCAGCACTATGAAGGGCTACGGCTAAGCTGTGTGTTTTCTTGCAAACCGCTTGCTTATACTACTTCGTCTTATAATACTTCGTTCCAGTGAGTAAGTATCTTTTGATTACCCATGCCGCCATTCGACCAGCTGGACAAAAACATGGGTATTTTCCAGATTTGCAGTGGGAGTTTTGATAATGCTAGTCTGGGGCACCTGTTGGGGAGCTAGCGGCACGTACTTTACTATGCTTTCGCAGCGCCTTGCTGGATTGACCAACTTTCTGTTAGCCCCTGGATGTCTATTATGATTCTTTCTATCGCCTTCTAAGGTACATTCTCCCGTTATGCCAGATCTATAAATCTCGTGGCCGGATTGATTAACAACCCATCTAGGTCACGCATGTTGTATGCACTACTTTCATCATCCCGAATAGGTACTGCCTCCGTGGTCTTTGAAAGATGACTACTGAAGCCGTGTGACAATAATAAGCCGACATTTCTCGCTGCTTCGATTGTATTGACTGTCTCATTGCTCAGTCCTCTAGTCTTATTATTGAAAGTGCCCCAGAATATATCCTCCAATGTGACATAATTGTTGTATCTCATCCAACCGCTCTTGAGATGGACCTTACTTATCAGTTGTTGGTGGGAGTGAAGGTTTAGGCCAAATGGTGCAACCTCTGCTTCGGCCCAATCCACCACCCCAACTAGATTGCATGTGGTTTTGTTCACCATGATATTGCAGACACCAAAATCCCTATGTAATAACACCATGGGGAGAGAAAATATAGCATGTAAAGAGCTGATAAATTTCTGGTTCAAGGAGTGATATTGGTCGGGGAGAGAAATGAGTAGTAACTCAAGCTTACTTTTATATTGATTGTATAGACTGTTGCTGTAGCTTTGATCAACAACTTGTGGTGACTTCCACGAAAGCGCAAAGAACCTAGTACGTCATATAATCAGCAGTCTGGCGGGCAACATGGCGCAGTAGATATATATTGTGACGTCGGCTACTAACTCTTGCGCCATGAAGAAAACTTGACTAAATTCTCGGGGAATTGATTGTTAGGGGCCAGGATAAAATCCAAGTAGCTAATTCCCTGTATTTTATCCATGACATAGATATAAAGGGCCTCTTTTCCCTCCACATCTTCCCCAATCTGTCCCTTAAAGACGACTTTAGGAGCCAAACCTCCATAAATTGTGCGTGCCAAATTTACTGTGTCCATGTTCATACAAGAACGCTTGAGGCGGAATTGAGCGGCAAATTCGTCATTCGGCCCAGAATAGACCGTATAGCTGCATACGCCCTGCACAGCTACCGGAGCGACTTCACCACCCAGCTGTTCTCTTGCAAAGGCATCGCAGGCCATGGTTATTGACTGAATCCACAATGTTATCATTCTACAACTACACGTCCCGCCATATAGGGTTTGGAAGGGATTTAATAAAGTATAAGTTTTACAGAGGTTTTGCGACCCTTCACTTTAATTAGTAATTGTTCAATATCGAGTCTTCGCTTCAGAGGCAAATCTCTTCATGACTGGGTTAGCAGTTTTGACTTCCTTGTTCGTAGGATTAGTTCCGGCCCTGCTAGGTGTTCGAGAGTGCGCATGTGAGCTACGTTGAACAGTACGGGACCATCATAGCCTGCGGTCATGGCAGTTGGTAACGAGATGCTGACGCTGCTAGAATACATGGTGTTTTCTCCGTATCTAACGGCAATGGTATTCTTCAAACCACATATCTCAACAGATGGAGAATGTTAGATGCTTTGCGATGTTGAAGCCATACATCCAACTATAACCATAGAGCTCTCAATGCCCCCGTAAATGCGCACTGACTTGCTCGAACACCCTTCTGCCATTAATATAGCTGGTGAAGAAGTGAAGAACTAAAGCCTGTCCTCATACGGCAATACCAAGTTGTTAATCTAAGCCTTTAGATTGGAGTGATAGAGTAGAAATATTATTTTGACCTTTGGGCTCTCTGCATGAAGAAACCTGTTGGCTAATAGACCTTCCAGAGCTTTGTGTAATTCTTCACTCTTATCTAGGAAGCTTAATTGATATTTTGCGCAAGGTTAAACAAGGATATAATTAGTCCTACCTGTAAGATGTCGCGGACCTCAGCACGTATGATGAGGCTGAAACACTTGCTTCCATTATAGGGAAATTCGCATTCAGTTTTCCACTCCCTGGAGCCCCTATTCGGATCTGTGTTTCTCGACCCTCACGGTAGAGAGGCCAACCGAGAGTTTGACAACATCACTCGGTAACTCATGGCATATATTGAATCTGATCATCCAAGCCATTACCATCACTTGCCAGGGACTCTAAAACGTCTTCTCAATATCTCCGGTAACTTCATAATAATGGCTGTTGCGTGTCGAGATCGAGGGTCTTTATAGCCTCGATATGTGTTCGATCCTGGGCCAAATTCCGCCGTATTGTCTGTCGCGACAAGCGTATTAATTCTATTCTTGATTGCAGTCCTCTTCATCTTCATCTCTTGCATAATTCTCGGCATTCTTCCATTTATGGGTGGCCACAGCCAAGACCCTATACAGGTCCCCAAGGTTGGTACAATAATGAGCGCACTGAGATGCCGCTCTCCGTAATGGATATACGCTCTCAATCATTTCATGTTCCCATGTAGACCTATAAGGGCTTGCCAGTTATAGTAAACCTGCAGCGGCAAGAGCTTGTCCGTAATGTGTAATATGCCGAGCTCCGTAGAACGAAATAATATGTTGTTTTCCCCCGTTTCAGCCATCATCACTAAGGATGCTGTAGGTTCATTTCTTAAGATACCACCTGCTCCTCGTCAATTTCCAGTAATTTGACTGAGATGTTGGGAAGAAATATCACTGTTTTGGCTGCGTTGATTACGGCCCCCAACCATCTATGACGGGAAATTGAAACCGCGCCGATGGAACGGCACAATGAGTTCTATGAATCGGTTACAGGCTCCATCGTGGTGGAAACATCTCGGAAGCTAGATCGAGGCAGGAAAATGCAGAACAGCGAACTGAGTAGCACCAGTGAAGGGCAGAGGGGTCAACAGGATTACCAGATAGCGTAGCCATCCCGGCTCATACTGAAAAAAGGAAATATAAAGCCCAAGGCCAACTTTAGACAGGAATACTCGATTATCAGCCCCTGGCCCAGCGGGGTGTTGCTTCACCCATGCCACCAGCTGTGCCACCTCCTGCATATCAACACCTGGAGAATGTCGTCACCGCGCCCCTGCTTTGCACTCGACGAGTGCCATAATTCGATGACTGGAGACCTCCTCTAATTGGCCTTCAGTATGAGCGACGTATTGCCGCTTACGCTGCGGTGTGCCAAAGTCTGCCGTCAGCTTCCTTCTGCCAGTCGACCACTGGCGCTTAATAGGCTGATCGAGAAGCGCCGCAATAGCGGTTAAGAAGGAGAGGATGGCGGCGTTGATACTGGCTTCTTTAGAACCCTCAAAGCGCGTACCCCTGGCCTGTTCGTAATTCACATGTCCTTGCCAAGTAGCCGCAATAGATACTAGATAGCAAGGAATGGAATAGAGGCCGGTATATCACTTTATAGCAACACTATTAATTGGACATCTAAACCAGTAGTTCTGATATTTCTAGATATATATGATCACATGACTAGCTTTAAGTATTTTATCAAGACCATGTGAACAGGATATTTATTGATACATGGAATGGATGACTTCAACGCATAGCTTTCATCACATGTTATTTGAGGAAGATCCGCAGCAGGCCTTGAGCCTGTTTGTGTTCAGCTATCGGTAGGACCTCAGTCTCTGAGTCTACTATCTCGATGTTCATGTTCGGTTACAGACCTGATAAATTGGGCTGACATTTTTGTGACTGTCCACATTCTAATATATATCTCTGCCAAACGTGCCATCGTTGACAGCAATACCATATAGGAAGTGTCTAAGCAATAGTGCCGAAGACCTCTAGCCGTATACACATGGTTGCTAGGCATATGCGTCGCAGATAGCAAGTGAAGTCAGCATTGTATTGAGGTCTTCTGGCAATCGATGTTATATTTTTTCCCTAGCACACGGATCTTGCTGCGACCAATAAAATGTCGATAAAATTTAATATCAATGATGGAGAAACATCACTGATTGATCGCTTAAGCAGTGGGATATTTGTGGACCGGAAGGAGACTTTATCTCCTTTTGAAATCTTGCCAGTCTACAACCTGTCAGTTCTCAGCAATCCGTTTGCAGCTGCTCTTTCTTGACCATGGGTTGAGTGTATCAGATCTCCAAATTTGTTTGTAATGTTAAAGAAAGGCTTATATGGTTGTCGGCAGCAAACAGGTGGAGTTAGGAATAACCTCAGTCCTCTCCGGCCGCGTTTACCAACACCCGACCAACCAGTATTGTGAGAAGATAAATTGGGGAGTATAGCGTGCATGGGCTTCATCATCATCATCATCCGACGAATCATTTGCAGGTTCTGTCTTGTACTTGCATGTATATCTGTCTGAACGGGTATATAGTTTCTTGGGCTATCCACTTGGAACTGAGGATGCGGTTTCCCTTCGGAGGGTCCTAGCATATTTTTCATACATGAAGAAATATTATTTATTTAGAGGATATGAATAGTAGCAAGATAGGAGAGCAGAAGCAGAGTTATATATTTACACTGAAGAAAGTGAAGGGCTTGCAGCAGTGCATTTTCAGCATCCCCGATCCAGTGCCATTGAGTATATCATTGTGAATATATTGTAGTGCTAGATCATTCATTCGGAAATAGCACTCCTTATTAGGTTGGGTATTCAATGTCTGAGTGACTACGACTTCATCTTCAAAATTCACCCTATAATTTAACCACAAAGAAGTTAGAAGTCCACAACAGACTTTCTACCAACTTCTATAACTAGCCATCACACGACAATGAGGTTCTAGGGATGAGTTGAGCCTCCTATACATCGCCTGCAAAAAGCCGGAAATTCCCGACACCACTCCAATTTTTCAGCCGCAGCGCACAGACAGCCAACTCGTATCCGGACGAAATTTTAAGCCCGATAACGCGCACGTTGGGCAGACCAAGTGCTATATCATAAGAGTTTTCGCCTGACTGCCAACAAAGAAGTCATATGCGCGCGGTGCTCGCAGGAATTTGATCGGGTGAGGTGATGCGAACCAATCGGGAAGAGTACCCACATGGTGCATCCTTATGAGAAACATCCAAGCTGTATAGTCTCGACTAGTTCATTCCCACGGGACAAGACTCGCCAAGCCGATATTAAGTAAATGTTTAGTGCTATCGGCTCGGGTTCAGGCTTGTGATGAAGGGAGTCGGGTTGTTGTTACGGCATCCCGAGGCAGGGCTGATCAGGCAGTGGAGCAACATGAAGCTATCCTAACTTCGGGTGTGCAAGCAAAGCATGTGAAACCGGCAGATTCTGACGTGGTGTGCAACACTTGCCATGTGGTGTCAATGTGGGAAACCATTCAGCCTGATAGCGGATCACACTTTCACTTCAAACGCATGGCATGTCTGTGCTTGGCGACGATGATTGGGTCGTCAGGGGTTACTGGATGATTCCTGATCCTTCGGCTGGAATTGCCAGGTGATGGCAGCATCGGTCGGCCTCGCCGGGGATAAGCCAAGCTGACACAAGACAAGGTAAGCAGACAAGACAGTATTGTAGCTACTGGTAGGGTTACACGTCATGTTGCTGCATGATAAGCATGGGTGGAAAAGACCATGCCCTTTGATCATGTTATTCACCGCTGCAGTTCATAACAAAGAGTCCATTTCAATCTTATTCCACCTGGTGCATAACTTGCACAACCGCGGGAAGGTTATGCGGAATGCCACGTTCTGGAGCCGTATTCCACCGCATTTTCTTTCTCTCGGACCCACCACTGATTCAGCGCCTCCATCTTCAGTTTATTGCCACACATTAAGTGGCTGTTGATATCCCGCTGACTCGCCTGATCAGGGATGCCCTAACAAACTCCAACCAGATTAGCCATCAATCCCAGCGGCTCTGCATCTCACGACAAACGCTTTTTCTTACACATTATTATATCCTGCAAATTATGCATGCCGTTATCTCCGTCCAGACTATTTTAAAAACACCCCATCCGCCATGGCTTTCCCATTTTCCATCTTCACGAATTCCACCCTAGTCTCTCTTTCTTCTTGTGCAGAACCCAACTGCCATCCTCATCATGCCCGACCTCGAGGATCAATCCGAGAAGCCCACTTCTCCAGTCCAGTCCCCCGCATCCAGCACCACTACCATTGCCGCCCTCTACCCCGAAACCGATCTCGACAAGGGCATCATCGGCTGGGACGGTCAAGATGACCCCAACAACCCGCAAAACTTTGCCCCGAAACGCA